CATATACCCCGATTACCAATACCAGTGGAACCTATGTCAATCCAAAGACGGTAGGTGATTTCCAAAGGTTAATCCTACAGTAGAATTTGCGAATTAGGGGATAGAGGAAGTTACATCACAGTGACGCAATAGTTTTACGAAATTCTAACAAAAGAAATAAATCATAATATGGCAGCTTATTTGACTTTTCCAGAAGTTACCGTACATCTTCGCTCAGTATTTACATATTTAGATGAATCAAGCACAGCTTTGTTCGGCCGTGGGAGCTCCCAGTAATGTGGGATCATACCAAAACCATCAGATGATCCGATGATTTTGGTATTTTCAGAAACAACATGCGTTTTTGAAGAAAGGTGACAAATCACAAAATTTCTTCTTTAAAAAGTATATTACGCACTCGCTTTCAAGACCCAGTTCGAAAGAAAAAATTGAAAAATCAAGAAATTGTTTCTATGCCGTAGCTAATAATAGACATGTGTATCACTCAATAAAATTTACCCCTTAAAGTCATCATAGTGACACTAACCAGCAGAGGCGCTACTACAGCCATTACAATTCGATTAAATTCTCTGGATCACGAGCGTCTGTAAAGAGTGCTCGAAAAGCTATATCAGGAAAGTCGGGATAGAATTTACACGCGCGGTCGCAATCAGGCATAAAATTTCCTTCAATAAATGATACACATAGTTTACGCTTCGCAGAATCTGAAAACCATCACTAAACATTCTTGACTCGATAAAAAATTATGAAAAAAAAAATGAAAAAACATGAAAAAAGTATAGATGCTTCCAAAAACAGTGGCTGAAGTGTACTCTCGTCAAGGACTATCTGTCCATAGTTAAAAACGAGTTATCTGCCAAAAACTATCCTGATATTTTTCAGTTAATCAAAAAAAAAGTGAAATATACTGGTGGGTGATAACCATAGGCAAGCTCTAGTCGCAGGCTTGAGTCTGCCAGAAAAAAATTATCTCCTCTACAGCTCTTCAACAGGCTCCGATAGAAAATCAACTTCCAGAAAGAGAGACGCCCCAAGCAGTCTTCCGGGGAAAAAGCGACCACTGACAACACTACTAAGGTAGTGTTGCTTACTCAAATCATATCCAAGTGCCTCATCGTTTCAGAAATAATGAGATTTCGATATTAACATGACAAAACTTTCGAGAGATAATTCTTCCGTAATTATAACGAAAGGATTATGTCGCGAAAGTTTTGTCATGCTGATATTGAAGGACAACATTGCAGGTGACCAGAATGTCGAAGAATGCGAACCAGACAATTCTTTCATAAAGAGAACTCAAACAATAAAATACTGAATCCACTAAGATGCCTGGATAATCGATTTGAAAATGGGATATCTTACATTCATATGATGTGTCAAACCTCCAGTTCTGAACCATCTGTTTTCAAATAGTACAATGCCGAACCAATACGTGCGTGTGTTACCCCTTCACATGCCCAATCTCCGAGGAAATGTTGGGCCTGTACACCAGAAGCCTACAGGTTAAAAATACTCTGCGCACCCAATTTTACCTTTTATTGTCATCGAAACAAATAACATCTTTCACGCTTGCCAGCTTACACGCAGTAAAGAAAGAAACATCCCA